ATACAATAATATATAATAATATAATAATATAATAATAATAATAATATAATAATATATATATATATATATATATATATATATATATACCTTTCGCGTAGAAATATATACATTATAGTTGGAATATGTGTGCATGACAGAAGCATATGTGTACGGGTGAATACTCTTGGAAATTCAATAAGTATAATAAGCGGGCAATCACTTACAGTATAACTGAAAAACCGGTTTCCTACTAGCGCGGTAATTCGGCCATTTGATGCTGCTGCTGCAGTAGCCACGCGCGCTGATACACTTTGTAACATACTTCCTTATGTGACTGAATGTATATGATTCCAAACGAATCTTCTATTTTTAATATATGGTTGAAGCGGAATGGACTACATACATATTCATTTTCAAGCTCTTCCTTTTATGTCACTGAAAGGGCGCGTGTCTGCAAGAGAGGCCGTGACGCCCGTTAGGCGTTAGGCGCTCCCGACTGACTCTGAGTTTGTGTACAGTCCCGAGCACAATACACAACTTCAACTTACTACGACACTCGACATTATTTTAGGGTTTTGTAGTATTTTGGGTTTTTTGTTTCAAACGGGACAAAATTTAATATACGACATTTAGAGCCATTCATAAATAAAATATGACTGTATATTGCAAGAAGTTCTCTTTCGTAAACCTACAGCCTACAACCTACATTCCTACAGCTGTGCCATTTTTAATTTTTTTTTGGCTTTGTTTTATTTTAAATTACATAGAGAAACAAACAAAAAGCTGCCAATTTGAATGGCGTCTCGTCGAATATGCAGATTGCAGTAACCCTTAGGGCTTAGGCTTAAAGTCTAAAACCCTGACCCCTGACCCCTGACCCCTGACCCTGGCCCTGGCCGGGGCCTAATCACTGATGGCCCAGGTGGTCATGCATATGAAACCCGCCAAACTGCTTTTAGTTTTTTAAGGTTTATGGGAGGTAGTTTTAGGGGGTTTAATATTTACGACAACCCTGACAACCGCGGGCAAACGGTATGTAGGACCGACAGAAATGCTGAAGCGCCAACTTCGCAGGTATATGTAAATATATTAGATATAGGCGCATAAATACGTGTGAGCGTAATAGCTTCACTTTATTTAGTGGAGCAACAACCAATGTTGTAGTTGGATTGTCAATATAAAAATACCTGTATATTAGCAAACAGTTTACGCCGTTTGACTGTGTACTTTTATCGAGCGCATTATTTGCCCTCAGACGGAGAAAGTATTGTCCAGTACCTGGTATATAGACAATTAAATATTATACTTTTTGGTGCTAGTTGGTTATCCAACGTATGATGTATATCAGTAAAAATATTGAATGCAATATTAAATTACCCATCTATTATTTTTTTTACCTCGTTGTTTCTGTGTCCTTGCACCTTCTCGTCGCGGTCTCTAGAACCCTGCACGTATGGAATAGCCGTCTCTGACTTTTAAAAGTGCTGTATATGTTGCTGTTATATAATTAACCAACGAACTGAATTGCTCGTACCACAATCTGTACTCTTTCCTGATAGCGAATCGCCACACCACCGTCGATGTTGTAGACAGGTGGATACTTATATGAACCTCACATGATCTGACTGGCAGGAAAATTTCGTTGGTTCACTCAACCCACAATAACATCTTTTTACGAATCTTGACGCAATTTAGCATTCGGGGATTTCTCTAAGGTAACTTGAAGGCGATATGCCCACAATTCTGCTGAGGTGCTCTGAGCATATTCGCGTACTCTGGTAGCCTGCTTTTGTTATGGCGCATATTTATACCGGCTGGTCGAGAAGAACTACATGAATATACTTACTTGTATCAATATATAAATCTATTTTTCATGAAAATAGCTTGTCTAACCTTGAAGAGCAGCTGTTATGAACGAACATTTGTGCGACGATAAAACAAAACTTACGCGAGATTTTCCATATCACTGAAAAGCGACTACATATTCGTAATACAGGCCACTTCTGCGTTTAACTAGCATCACTTCAATTTTATAAATATGCTCGCGTACTGGCGTGTGCTTTGATTAACACTATGACGTCAGCACGAACCACACGCCAAGACCTGCCAAGAAAATAGTGTACTTACCGAAACAGGAACCCTCGGCTTATTATGCATATACGTGTGCAACCCCTTAAACTGTTGCAAAGATTGATACAAAACGCTTTTGGTCCGGGTTTGTGATAGCAGGCGAAAAAGCTGTGCTTCGCAGCTGGGTACAATGAAAGTGCATCAAAATTGGTGACGCTATCGTATAATACGCGTGAACTTATTTTTCAGTCTTTATTTCATTCCCATCTCAGCCACATACTTGCAAAAGTAAATATTCCCTGATACATCTTCATCTGCGACTGCTGAGATGTGGCCCAACACACAAACACCCACAAGCAGAAGAACTGTCACGTTCTTATGAGTATCCCTACCCACTTACTGAACTCCTGCCTATCCACGGCCAAAGCCTCTATGTGCCCATCCCTTATACAGTATACATCTACCCTCCCCTCGACCGAATACAGTACACACTTACTCGGCCGCATTCCACACCTACTCGGCCACATTCTCTAACTACTCAGGCTTGACCTCCGTGTCGTCTGTATCGTGCAACTCATCCTCTGCACCAGATGCCGCAGGTTTGCTATTATTACTCGTACCCGTGGATGCTCTGGGCTGCTTCTCCTGCTCAATCTTGGCCACACGAATGATAATCTCACGCCCGTCTAGTTCGCTAACAGTCTGGATGGCTTTCTGCTGCATTTCATGGGTCTCGAATTCCACCAGACCAAAGCCTGCCGAATGATGATAAAGAATAGTTGAGTTGATATTATTGCGTAAATATAAATACAGACACACAAAACGTCCAAAGCAAGATAGTAACTCATCTTTTATGTCGAAAGCGGCATGAGAAATGTTGCATGATTTCTAGTAATGTTTCTCGACAAAATGAGATGAATGGCCCAATCTGAAGAAAAATATATGACATTCATAGCTAGAAGTACACAAATACCGTGCTAGGATGTTAGAAAGAATATATATATATATATATATACTTATATTTTGGATATACAGAGAGAAAATGCACATACCCCTGCTTTTGCCGTTGTATCGTTTGCTGACTTTAGCTGAGGTCACACTGAATCCTTCAAAGGCCTTGGATAATTCCTCGTCCTCATAAGAAAACGGAAGATTGGCGACAAACACAAGCGTTTCGGAATCAGGCAATGTTTGTCTCTTCTCTTCTCGTTCCTGTGAGTAGTAAATATATAACAGTAAGCATAGGTGTGCAATATATATATATTTATATGTAGTTATAGATGAAGATTGGATATATATTAATGTATACGTATATGTATATGTATATGTATATGTATATACATATTTATATATATGTATATATATATACATATATATGTACATTTGTATTTATATACATATACATACATGTATACTTGTATACATGTATATATATAATCCATGAGATTGCCTCGTAGAATTTCAAGACAGTAACCCTTCCAGATATATTGAAAGGTCAAAGATTTTAAATAGAACTTGCAGCCTACGGGCACAGATGCATTCTCTGTGAAACTACACACAGCGTCTCATATTTTCTTCCCTGGCGAGCGTGCGCCAGTTTTTGGAAGTAATAAATACATAGAGAAGAATGCTTATCCTGCTACGATAACGAATGAATGCACATGTATTCCGTCCACTTCATATATCGAACACATATCACTAATTTTAAGTCAGCTGTACTTCTCAGGAGAGATACAGCCATGCATAGCACAAATGTTTCAGTGCGAGAAAAATAGCATACAATGCATGTGATTACATAGCACACACACACTACCACATCTGTACAGGCTTGTTAATCCTAGTGGCCTTGCCGCGTTGCTTGGTGATGGAAAATCAAAGGACGAAATACATATCCAACAACATATATAGCCTGGCTAATATCGAAGTGCTGTCATGAGATCAAACGCACCTCTTTGCTCATACGAGTTCTGTTGTCCCTCTTTCTCTCGCCACTTCGCTTTGGTTTGTCCTCGCTTGATTTTTTAGCCGTTTTAGGTGGCTGCTTGAAAAAGGGTACATATAGAGATTTAGCATACAAATGACCCACTCAATTGAGCAAATACACACACACACACACACTCACAAATATATAAATATAAATATATATACATAATATAAATATAAATATATATACATAATATAAATATAAATATATATATATATATATATATATATGTATATATATTTATATATATATTTACATATATATATGCATATTTATAGATAAGTTGTTATTATATATATATATATATATATATATATATATGTGAATATGTGTATAGGGTGGCCTTCACAATACGCACGAGTGTATGACAACCATATAGACCAACATAAACATCAGACATAATTTCTGTGCGCGTACGCTTATCCATGGAGAACTCGAGATCTCTCTAATCGGAAGACTGACTTATGACATGCTTGAAACAGTACTAAATGAAGTAATCTTCACCCATGAATATAAAAAATCTCTTGAATACAGATACATGATAGCAAACAGGGGCATATATGTAGCTTTCCTTTTATACACTATACTCGCACATACCTGTGACTCCCTGATTCGGGCCAGTTCGACGTTTAATGTTTTACCGTTCAGCTCCATGCCATTTAACTGCGAATACCAGAAGAAATTGAACACGTGTTAAATGCTAGACCCTGAAGACCGAGGAGTGATATACATCTTCAGGAATGTATGCGTGCGTGTGAACAGTTGATATTGCAACTACTCTCATGTCATGCGCAAGCTGATATAAGCATGTAGCGTTGCTAACTCTACATATATATATATATATATATAGTAGTGGAAGGGATATGATGCCACAAACAAGGACACGTTTGACGATGTCCAGTGACTGTTCCCCCTTCACATTGTCGTAAGCAAAATACACATACATCCATAAATGTACATATAGATCTATATATATTTAATGGTATGTATGTATAAATGTATAATATATATATATATAT